CCTTACTAGGTACTAGGATTCTTTGTCACACAGTTGAGCCCTGATGACTAACACCTGTGATAGATACTGAAGGACATGAAATACCCTTTGGAAAACAAGAAGCCACTCATAAAAAGTATCACAAAATATTGGGAAATCTTACTGAGCCTTCCCAACTACATCATTTCAGGCTGAGAGATCAGGTATTATTTAAATAATTTGGTCAGATGAGAATGGCCATCCACAGCTTGTCCTACTTGCTTTTCCAGAGTCCAGGGTCACTCCTTTACCTCTGTTTCCTTTCACACTAAATAAATACTCTGAGACTTAAGGAGTCACAGGATTAGTAATGGGAGTTCATTTTGTAGTGAGTTTGACATTAAATCCTCAATATAGAATAGAAGCAATCTGATCAGGTGAAACACAGGGAAGGTAGAGTTCAAAGCAACCTCAAAGGAGAATCTTGTAGAGAAGAGTGATCTACCCAGGGTCACAAAAGCAGTACAAATAACAGTCCTAACTACAGGTTACATAGAAGGAGACTGAGCACGTTTCCCACCCCACCACTGTCAGTCTGAGGAGAGTCAGCTCCGTGAAATCCACAGGAGCGTGATTGCGGATGGTTATAAATAGGCGGGAGCTGATGATCAAGTGTAATTGCATACACTCAGAACGAGTCCAAATAACCACCGCCAGAAAGTCTTTCTCGATGTCAGATTTACTCTTCAAATAGCTAAGTATGTGTAAGAGAAAAAAAAAAAACATAAGAAGCTTTTAATGACTTGGAAACAAAGGCAAATCTTCCATTCCAACTTAATAGTGGCATTCCTGAAAGAGCCCCAAGCACTTTGAAATGAACGGTAAAGGGAGATAAATTATATGTTTGCATAGCTATCAAAATTTAATATTAAAACTTTTCTCTCCTTTTTTTTTTGGGGGGGTGGGGTCTTTCAAGACAAGGTTTCTCTGTCCTGGCTGTTCTGGAACTTAATCTGTAGACCAGGCTGGCCTCAAACTCAGAGATCTGCCTGCCTCTGCCTTCTGAGTGTTGGGATTAAAGGTGTGTACCCATTACACTGGCTTAAAAGGTCAGGTACCCATGGGACTCTGGAGCTATGAGTTCTGCTTGTTGTCATTTGAATAGATGTGCCAAGAACACAGGGTATTTTAGATTTTTAACAAAGAACACACCAACAGAAACCTTCAAAACTTCAGGGAACTGTCTTGTCTCAAAGTTGTCATATTGGATAAGGAAAGGAAAATCCATTATATAACATGAATGTAGTCCGAAGGTTTCCAGACAGATCAACTAAATCTAAGCTATCTATCAAATCTAAACTGAATTGAAACTACCTATCAAACCAAAGCAAGCTATCTCCTTTCCATCCTAACTGCAGATAAAAGAGAAAGAGACTCAAGGGAACACCTATCATAATGGGAGCTGGAGATGGCTCAGCAGTTGAGAGCATTGGCTGCTCTTCCAGGTCTTGAGTTCAATTCCCAGCAATCACATGGTGGGTCACAACCACCTGTATGTAATGGGATCTGATGCCTGCTTCTATACATGCAGATGGAGCACACATATACATAAATAAATAATAAATAAATAAATCTTAAAATTAAAAAAAGTATCATAAGGAAACCTATTGCTTTATATGCTGATTTTTAAAACTGATACAAATAAAAAAAATAAGGTCACAAGTAACAGGAAGCATCTATTACCAAGTTACTTGCTTGGTAAAAGCTTGGCCCAGCAAAGAGTTAACATAACATTCTGCCCTGTGTGAGCATTCAATCCCTTTACCAATCACCCACCAGCTGAGTCACCCAATCAACCTAAAATGCTTCCATACTTCGAGGTAGCCCTAGGGTGGGGCTTCACATGTGTGTAGCTGATGACATGGACACATGCACTTGATCCTTTCTTTTAAATCAAGGGTCCTAAACTTACGCCTTTTAAACATCTGAACAGTAACCAACAGGATCAGGGAAATATTGACTTAAGTTATGAATCCAGACAGATCAACTAACTCTAACTTAAAGGGAAATGATCTATTAGCAAATGCATAGAAAATGCACCACACACATACACACACCGATACATATACATTGATATAATAACAGTTATATTCAATTAAGGTGTTTATTATTCAAAAAGGTAAAAATTAAAGTCAGAAGCATCTAGGAAGATGATGGCTCCTAATATATCGAAAAGCCAATTTTATGAACTACTATAGTATATAGTAGGCATTAATAAATTATACCAATACAATGAGACTAATTGAATGACTGTCACATATTACACACAATTATATTAATTATACAACTAATGAATTGATGAATGTATCAAGATTTGTCATGCTACTTTTTCTACTTATTAAATCAAGCTTCTAGTCCTTATAACCTATCCCCCACCCTTTGATGGTATAGTACCAGAGACTGAACCCGGGGCCTTACACATTCCAGATAAGCACTTTACCATCTGAGTTATATCCCCAGTCTTTAACTTTCTCTATACACTTCTAACAAGAAGAAAGGTAGTTGACATTAAAAAAAAAAAAAAAAAAAAGTCAGCTTGGGACTGGTATGGTGGCCCACTTCTTTAATTCCAGCAAATAGGAAACAGAGGAAGGAAGAACTTGTGAGATTGAGGCCAGCCTGGTCTATATAAGCAGTCCTAGGCCAGCCAGGGCTACATAGTGAGACCCTATCTCAAAATAAAATAAGCAAACAAACAAACAAAAAATAACAAAAACTTGTAAAAAGCCTTGCTGCCAAGGATTGCCAAGGACCTGAGTTTAGTCCCAGGTCTCGAATGGTGGAAGGAGAGAACCTACTACCTCAAGTTATCTGCTGCCCCTCAATGCTGCTGCTGTCTCTGTCTCTGTGTCTCTGTCTCTGTCCCTGTCTCTCTCTCTCTCCTTCACACACACACACACACACTCTCTCTCTCTCTCACACACACACACAATAAGTAAAATGAAAATAGAATAACGATAGTTGGTAATGATTAAGGAAATATTTCAAAAAAGATAATGGAAAAGATTTCTAATGCTCCCAACACAAGAAAATGCCAGTCAGCTGACCTCATCATGATGCATGACACACATGTATTGAAATTCCACACATCAGTACACAGTTACTATGTGTTATCTAAATTAAGTCAATTTTTAACACTTACACCTCAACAATGTAAGATCCCTACTCAGTGTATCGTGAAGGTGGTACATAGAATGGCTCCAATAAACTCTAAGAGATTTATTGCTTTACAACTGAAAATTATAAACTGTGCATGAGACATCTTCACAGCATATGGCCAATGCGATCAACCAAGGAGAATAATTCAGTTTCATAAAGATGCAAATTTAACTGTAGTGTGTTAATTCATGACAATGCTGTCTCTCAAGACAATCACCAGGGACCTCCCACATGAAATCAATATGCAGACATCTATTTAACTTTATCACTGGCTCACTAAGTAAATATCACACTGTAGACCACTTAGGTACTCACTATTCAGGCAAATAGCCGGCGTAAAAAGCAGGCTGATGGTGTCAAGCCATTAACAAATCAATCGATAACCGTTCCCTGGTTTGGGCTAACATCTGGAGAGCCAATTGTTAGCCAGCTGCCGGGGCAGAATCTGTGCAGAGGATTCCCTTGTACTCTGAGAGAGGGTCTCAGGGAGACCATCAGCCAGAGTTTGGCTCCTTGTGCTTTTTGAAGCACTAAATGCAACTACCCCTTCATCCCAAAGGCCTGCAACCTGAGGACCACACTGAGAGATGCTACTCTGTTCTCCACTGTGCCTAAAACCCTGGAGCACATGAAATAAGAGTGAATGGTTTGACCTTCCCTATTGCTATTTTTACTACTTTCTGAATGAGTCTTTTTAGCATTTTCTAGGTACCACATATACTCACAAACATCTAATCTTCTCAAAGTGACCAAGAATGGCCCTGCTTTTTGCAACAAAATCAACTTCCTTTTCCTGAAGTGTGAACTATTTGGCCTCACATCATGTCAAACCCCCAATATCATTTTTTTTTACACTAACTTCACAGTTAGTGCTGTGCCTGCCTCCTTCATGTGACATGCATCCAATACTTCTATGCCTTGGGACACGTATCCATGCTTTCGTTGGAAGACAGTGAACAAGGGAGGAGGAGGAGGTGTATCTAGCAAAACCAAACTAAGCTTCAGGACTGCTTCCTGGAGTTACAGCTCAGGACAAACCTGTGTACTGAGTGTCACAATTAGCAACACAGCTCAGAAGTCCCTCCTCTTTCATTTTGCCTGCCCTAGAGCTGAGGGCGAGAAAACTCTACACAAAGTGTGGCAAAGGAGGCTACTGATTATGAATGGGAGAACCAAGGGCATTCTCAGACTGCAACAGACTAAATGTCCTTCTCACTTCTAGGAGCTTGGGACAAGGGGGACCTCTTTCCTCTTTCTCTTTCTGTTTCTCTTGCCTGAGATTTGATCTACAGGGAAAACATAACCAGGTCAAATGTGCAAGTTAACCGGTTTTCACACACACTCCATGCATGCTGGGCTGGATTAGAGATGCCCTACACTTTGGGTACTTTTCTGTTTTACTTCCTGGAGGGAAGGTTCAATCTTCACCTCAAAACGACCCACGAGAAAACCAGCTTTTTAAAAGTCATGCTAGAAATCTACTTCTACTTCCTGTGAATGGCAGCTCTCTTCCTGCCCTTCCTTTTCCATGGAAATTTCACCCCTCTGTTCTCTGTCCCAGTGATGAATATGGATTCAATGCAATGACCCACAAAGAACAAGGGGGAAAGTCTGGGAAACAGTCTATTTCTCTTGTTACCCATAATGCTGAGTGTACAACTTAATTTATCATGCCCTTATCACGAGAGCAAACTACACACCCCAGGTTAACGGCCAGGTTGCAAGAGACAAGTTACAACACACCTGTGGCTTGCCACCAACCCCAGTACCCTGACAGAAACCGCACCCCACTTCCAACAACTCTGATATTCCCCAGATCTTACCCTGCCTAAGAGGTTGTCCTGGAGTAGTGTCTGTTGTAGCACTGGGCCCACATCCTCCAAACACAGCACATGGCAGAGGTCAGTGAGCTCCTCTTGACCCAGAGACCCAGTTCCCAGGGTGTCAAAACTGTCAAACAGCTCCTTGAGTCGGGCCTCATGTTGGTCCTGCTCCACCTCATCCATCCCATAGCCCACAGCGCTCACCTGTATGAGACATGAAGAAAGACAGGTTGGGGCAGGTCATTTATGGACACATGAATCTCCCCCTGCCCTACCTGGACACACACATCTCCCCCAGCCCCATCAGCCACTTGGAACACTCTTCAGCAAGGCCTTGCCTGGCCAGTAGTACTTGTACACACACCAGCACCAGGACACAACTGTACTGCTACAATGGAGTAACATTACAGGCACCAAGGGTTTAGGCAGGCAGTCCTCCTTCCTAACAGATGCAAGGGCAAATGGCCCATCTGTCAGACTCGTACCTGAAAGGGTTTCTCACCTATCAGCCTGAGAACTCAGGAAAGTGAAAGGCCAGCCAGGTCAGATGAGATAATTATTAGTATTCAGTCACTACAGAGTTAGAGCTGCTAGACAAGTCTGTAAGCTGTAGACAAAATCCCTGGATGCTGGGATCTGAGGTGTGGCCAAACTTTCACTCCATTCAGCCTAGGTATTTCACATCACAGCTATTTTAGAGGCACTGGCTGAGCCATCTCCCAATGTATATGGCCCAGATGCCTTTAATTCAAAAAAGCAACTCAATTAGCCTTGCTGGTGCAATTACACACAGCAAGACAGAAAGTACTCCCCGAGGCTCTCTCTTGTCCCAGAGTGCTTTAGGTAATGCTTAGTTGCCTAGAGAAAGGGCAAAACACTGAAGACATTTCCTGAGGAGCCACTGGCTGTCTTGGGAGAGTTGAACAGCATCTCTGAACTCCTCCACCTCCATCTACTCAGACTTCAGTCCTGGCTGCCCTGTTTTCCATTACTGATTCCCCACCGCCCGGCAAACCTGGGTCCCAGCCTTTCACCCTCCCTAGGATCAGTAAAAACCTGACATCATGAAAGGCTTTCCGTCATCTTTCGCTAAAAATAGGTATTTTACTTCAAGAATAAGATGTTCCCAGTCTAGGTATGGTGGCACACACCTTTAATCCCAGCGCTTGGAAGGCAGAGACAGACGGATCTCTTGTGGGTTCAGAACAGCACGATATACAGAACAAGTTCCACAACAACCAGGGCTACACAGAAAAACCCTGTTCCAATTTAAAAAAGAAAAAAGAAAGAAGAAAGAAAACGAAAAAGATCTTTCCTTCTCCTTGTATACAATAATCAATTTGTAACGTGCTGGATCCAGCCCAAATGCTGCACACCTGGAAGCAGCTTCATGATGCAATCAACGGTGTCAAACACACAGAGACCCTTGGGATGGTGACCTCAGGCGTCTGCAATCAGGCTTTCCGCCAAGCCCATGACTACAAAACACAGCACCTTCCCCAGGGCTTGGAGGTGTAGCTCAGTGATACATCATAAATGCTTAGCATGTGCAAGGCCCTGGGTCCAACCCTTAAAAACACCGACAGTAAGAACAGCCCCTTTAACTAAAGCCCCAAGTCAGGGCTCAGAGCAGCTCCCAGTAACACAGAGACAGTGTAATTTAAGCTGCTGCACACAGCTCAAGCCTAAGGCAATGGAGCATTCTGAAACAATACAAGGCTACTCTAGGCCGCTTTCTTTCTTTCTTTCCACAGACAATTGTCCAAAATATGACAGGCCTGGACAAATAGACAGGTGTAGTGGTGGATGCCTTTAATACCAGCACTTGAGAGGCAGAGACAGACAAATCTCTGTGAGTTCAAGGCCAGCCTGGTCTACAGAGTGAGTTCCACAACAGACAGGGCTACATAGTAGGCTACATAGTGAGCCCCTGTCTTTTTGTGTGTGTGTGTGTGTGTGTGTGTGTGTGTGTAACCAACAACAACAAAAAAGCAACCAAACAAAAGATGAAAGACAAGCCGTGACCCCACAACTGGATGATGTCAGATGAGATGGAAAGGAGCTGCAGCACAGCTCGATGTTTAGGGCCACCTGTGAAAGCAACATGATAGAGTGTAGGTTCAGGCTCCCAGGCCTGGGAAGGTCTCTTCCATCAGCAGCTAACCACTGGGTGCAGCAGGCTCTGGCTGCCTTCCCAGGGTTGGTCTGCTGGGTTAACTAATCAGTATGTAAATGTTTTCAAAATATGTTGGGAGTGCTACATAAACATCAAAGCTTCAGAAAAGAAACACCAAGATGTTAAACCAAACCACAAAAAGAAGGAACACAGACAAGGCCAAGCTTGGCTAATGAGATTCCGACAGAGTGGGCCAGTTAATTGTCAACTAAGGTCTGCTGGGAACCCCCATGGGCTCTGGGATTTTCACAGCTATGAAGCTCTTTCTTAAGAGTTCTCTGGGTTGTAATCTGACCAACTTCAGAAAAGCCAGACAATTCTACTTTCGCTTGATTTCTGTATATGGGTTTCTAAACTCAGAAAGAATCCTAACACTTTCCCCTTCAAATGTTACTTTCTGTTTTAGCCAATAGTTCTCAACCTATGGGTCGTGACCCCCTTGGGGATAGAACAACCTTTTCACAGGGGTCACATATCAGATCTCCTGTCTATCATATATTTGCATTATTATTCATAACAGTAGCAAAATTGTAGTCATGAAGTAGCAATGAAAATGATTTTATGGGTGGGGGAGGGTCACCACAACATGAGGAGCTGTATTAAAGGGTCAAGGCATTAGGAGGGTTGAGAACCACAAGTCTAAGTCAATGAAAGAGAATGAAACTCGCTCAGTGCTAAGAACACCTGGCTTTATCTGCTGCTTTGAATCTGGTTAGCTAGCATGTCTGATTTAGGGAGGCCATTGGATTTTCACTAGATCATACATCTTTCATTTGAAAGCTTTTTTTTTCCCCCTTATCCCTGAGCTTCATCTCCTAGGTTCCATAGACTACAAGCTTAGGAGAAAGTTCTTTTGACTGAAGGCAGGGGTTGGGGTGGGGTACATGGGGGTAGGTGGAGGTGGAAAGTGAGGGGTGTGGGGGTGTGGGTGTGGGAGATGAAGGTGCATGGGATGGGGGTAGGGGTGATACGGGAGATGGGAGAAGGGGGGCTGCACCCCAGTGAAGCAAGTGCTCCAACTGCGACATCCAGGAAATGTTACACACGGTGACAAGCTGTCAGTTCTCATCTGCCACCAAATGCATTTTTGTTCGTTGACACAATTCTCCAAACGTTCATCTGTAATTTCCTGTGCAAAGAATGTTTCCCCTCCCCACTTGCCAGAAAGGTAGTAAGGGCCACAGTTTCTCCTTCGTTATCACCTTCCCTTCCCCCAACTGAATAGTACAATCCATGCTTTGGGCCGGGGACTCAGTAAATGAACTGACTTTGTGTTATGGAGGCTCCAGGGAGGGATAATTTACCCCGGTGAAGATGCCAGAGTCCACAGAGACAGTTCCTGCTCTGACTTCTTCCACACACACACATCTTCACTTCTCAAGGGCATTCTCAACGTTAGGCAAAACCAAGAAGAAACCGAGCACCAACAATGAGTACCAAACTACAACGGAGTCATCGAAGTGTAATCCAGTGCATAGTGCAGCCACAAACTACAGCTGCGGTTCTCGGATAGGAGACCAGGCTTTGGAGGAGACTGTGTGCTAAAACACTTGTCAAGCCCCCTTGTTTAGACAACGAGGATAACAACAGCCATCTGGGAGGGTTGTTCTAGAACGAAGTAGGGCAAGCTAGTGGCTAGGCTCAGGGAAACAGGTCCAAGAGAGGCAACTGAAGATCAAGCAAAACACCTGAGGCCTGGAAAGGAAGCCAGAGGAGAGTAATTTAAATGAATCAGGCAGAAGTCTGCCTGCAGAGCCAAGAAGCAGCTCATGGAATGCTACTGAATAATGGGCAATTGACGTCACCTCGTAAACATCATTATATTAATAAGTGATGATAATAATGGATAATGCTTGGCTACCTGAGCCTAAAAAGGCAGATTATTGACAACTTTAATGCCAGATAACTGCAGAAAAGCTGAGACACAGCAGGAAATTCAGAAGGCATTATGTTCTTCTCAGCATTTACTGAGTCTGGCCTATGCCAAGTACTTTATGCATACCACCTCATACATATAATTTAATCTTCCTAACTCAGGGGTATGGATAGTATCACTTCCCCCATTTCAAATGTAGAAATTGGGGTTAGGTAGAATTAAGCAACCCATTCAAGGCCACACAGCACTACAGTGGAGGAGGGGCCATGATTCTACTAGTGTGACCATTACTGTCCCTCAGCCTTATACATGTTCAGAGGACGTAATGATGGTGAGGCTGAACAACTTATGTCCTTTCTGTGTCACCTGGCTGGAGATTACTGAGAAAAACTTTGACAGTCTCAAGTCACACACTGTTCCAAACTGGAATACAGAATGTTGGGGGATCCCAGTTACCTTGGTCCATGAACCGAATGCATACAGCCTACAAGTCTCTAGGAATACACAAATATGATAGATAGGCTCTTTCTTTCTTTTCCTAAAGCAGCATTGGGATTTGAGGCTGAGAAGAAATACATATACATGAGACAACCATAAGAGTCCCAGACCTTCAGGATTGGATACAGCTCAGGAATCACACATCATTCTATGGCTTTCCCCCAGTGAATACTTAAGGTCTATGGTCTAATCTGGGAAGGCAATGCTTTCCAGAGTCAAGGCTCAGCAGGCGCCCATCAGCAGCAGGAAACTTACAAAGCTGAATGAGAGTAGTAAATCCTCCTTGAAGTTGCAAAGAACAATTCCAGTTTAAGGATGACAGCCATAACCTCAGGGAAAACCCTACCAATGACAGCTAGCCAGAAGCCATTATGACTCCTTTGGAATAAAAGGGCTGGTGTGGGCAATATGTTGGCGTCCTAACTAGGGACAGTTAAATAAGGGGCAGATGCAGAAAGCGAGCAATCAAAACATTTACTACCCAATAACCGGCCAAAATGACAATTACTCGGAGCATCTTCCTCCCAATGGACCCAAAACAAGGCTGTCACTAGGCCACAGACTGACATCCATCACGTCTGTGCTGTATGCACTCTTTACTCAATCCCCCAGCTGATAAAAGCATGGTGCCAACGGGGACTTCCAAAAACTAGGTGGAGGTAGAGCTGGAGTAATGTTCCCCAGGTCAGTGTGAAGCAAGTGTGTGAACTTCCCCACACCAGGTTATAGAAAGGAGCTTGTAAATCTGGAACCCCAACCAGAGTAGGTATCTGTTCTGGGCTGGAGGGAGTAAAAGGGGACAAAGTCTGGCAAGTGTAAACCAAATAATAAATAAACACAGCGCCACAGCCCCCAGCCCAGGCCTTTTATTTCCTTTCCAGATGGCCCAGCAGCTGAACAGCTCTGCGGAATGTCTGCATGGCCCTCTAGGCTCAGCCTCTTCCCTTTCAAGAGAGTATCATAATAGATGCTTTCGGACCTGTGTTCAGACACAGCTGTTGGAGGCCCACAGCCCAGGCTGTGACCACCACGTGAGTAATTTCATTACTTTGGGACTGCAGTGATAAGCAAAGACAAACCCTATCTGCTAAGGCTTTTCACCTATGCCTTTATTGGACCCTAATAATGAACCATGATCAAATTAAAGTGTTCCTCTTTCTTCCCTTTTTTTCCTACAAACATTTTTACCAGCTGCAAAATTTCCCAGGCTTAATCTTATACTAATTTTATTGTAAAAGGAAATAACAAGGAGAAGAAACTCAAGTACAGCACCAGCTCCAGAATAAGCCATGCCCTGCCCACCCCATCCACCAATTTTTACCTAAAAACACTCTTTCAAAGTACTGTTTGCTGCTCAGCCACAAACTGCTAAATGCCTCCTCCCAACTCAAGCAGTGCCTCCTGCCTTCAAGCTGGAAATCAAAAACAATACAGAGCATCAGCAGGAACAGAGCTGAGGTAGAAAAAAAATACATACAAACACACATATTTATATTCCAACATGCCACTGAACATGGAAAACTCACATTCAGATGAGTCTGAAGGAACACTTGTTTTGCTAAGCATACTCTAAAATGTAACTGTGCCAAGGGCACCCTGCTAGTATTTATTCTCAACCTAAACATGCATTAGGATTTTACTGCCCTGCAGGTTGATGTGAATCCAGGCTTTTGTTATACCTAATAGCAGGTGAATTACCTAATCAACTAAGGAAAAACAACAGCTTCACACAACAGATCCAATAATCTATATTCAACTACTTACAAAACTACAGGAGCCACACACAAAGCCAAAAACAAAACAGAGTTTTGTGTTTGCTACTTAAAAAAAAAAAAGAAGAAGAAGAAGAAGGAAGGAAGGAATCTTAAACAACTTTCATTTCTTGAGCTGTATTTACATAAATTAATTTAGGATGTCTGAAGCTGTGAGCTCCCTAGGGCCTGAATGGAAAACGCCTGTTCTCACATCTATAGATGATATTTCCCCAACTGTGTTGAGGTATTAGGATATCAACACTCTGAGCACTTTCCATATAAAGCAAGTGTCTAATTGCTCATACAAATTGCAGTAAAGAAGTGAGCTAATTTCTAAAGATGTTTCTCATTTGCATAATCCATAATATTTTAAATTATCTTATTTCTGAATATAATCATACATATATGATTTTATATATATATATATATATATTGGTGAGGTTCACCCCACAAGCCTCTGCCCAATAGATGTAAGATCAATAGCCAGAATTCCAACTGCATTATTTATTGGCTTACAAATGAGTTGGCATTTATAAAAGTAGCCTAAAAGGCTTAGGCTGTCTGAATCCCTCTAAGATGTCCTGATGTAACTGCCAAGCCTCTATCAGGGTAAGACTTATAAAATGTATTTTCATTATCAACACAAAATGGAAGCATCAAGACTGGTAAAGTGTTAGTTTAAAAAGTCATTTACAGTGACATTTAAAACAATTTATTTGAACAACATTTGACTCATGATAAGAACACTGACTATATTAAATTAAGATTGACTGTTCAGAGTTCTGTGGAGCCCTATTCTTGTCCTGTGAGTTAACATCTTCTGATATGAAGGGCCATTACATTATCTAAAATGAAAAGGGAGTAAGAAGAAAAAAGAACTTGTGACATTCAGAGCAAGCACCTATTAAACATGACTGGACCGTGACATTTCAACAGGGGGACCGCATAGAGGGTGGGTGGCTTCCTCTTCCTTGTCCCAGTATCTGTATATTGGCAATGCCTTTGCTTATGGCAATCCATTTGCTTTCAACACTGCAGTTCGGAATGCTTCCCTCTAAAACATCAGAGAGCCTTGAAAATAGGCAGGTTGCCAATACCCGCTGCCCAGATCACCTCCCTATAAACACCAACCACAGCTGAAGAAATAGCACGAACTCCCCTTTTAGCCAGCCCGTGATGTTACTGATGATCAGCTGGGGTATTTCATAACTTCTTTCAATTCCACAACAAGACATGCTAATATTCCAGGTCAGCCCCCAACAGCCGTGTTCACCACTGCAGAAGACCCTAGAAGAAGCTACACCCGTGCCAGGAAAGTATTTCCTTATGGTTTGTTAAGCCTTGGGAAGCATGCAAATAGATAACATTGATGCCAAGATGACACATCAGAGCGAACCCAACTGAGTTGATAGTTCATGGTCCCAAGAACCTAGCTCAGGTGCTATCATGAGATTTATTGGAATGAGCACCCTAAAAGCTACCGTGGCAGCCACGTAGACAACCACAGTCTGTTTTGGTTAAGCTGCAAGGAAAGCCTTCTCAGGACTTCCTCACCGCCTGGAAAGGGTCTGTCCCAGGTAAAAGATGATGAGACCGTCTCATAATAACAAAGTTGCCTGGAAATACGATCCCTGGCAGCACACGATTCCAGCTCCCCTTTCGTTTGCACCTTCCGAGCTGAGGCTAGGGGCATCTCCTTTCCAATCTCTCTCAAACTCAGAGCTTTAAGCGGAGGCTGGTTTCCATCAGCCTTGTCTTTTTAGGGGAAGTGGGGGTGGTACTGCAGTTCAGACCTGAGTCTTGGATACTTCTCTCCCACCTACAGCCTCTCCTTACTTCATTCCACACTCCTCTGCTCTGGAGATCGCGGTTTTCAGAGCAACTGTCACGATGTACTGCCACCCTTTCCAGATAGCTGTACCCAAAAGTCTCTACCTGCACGGATCCCACGCACCTTCTAAAATCTCCACTTTCAGGACTCCAAGCAGCTCTGCGCTCCCAAGATGTTCAGATCGACACCCAGGGGCTCCTCACGCAGGCTTCCCCTTCAGCTTTTGGACCTCAGGGCTGCCTGGGTGGCCTCGACCCACAGAACAAGAACCCTTTCTGCTCGCTCCGGCTCCTACCCGCCGCTGGAGCGAGGCACAGTAGCAGCTTTCAGCTCCGGGCGCCGCAGGTCTGGGAGGCGGAGGTGTGGCGAAGGGCGGGCCAGCCCAGGTTCCTAGCAACGCGAGCGGCGTCCCCACTCCACCTGTCCCCTCGCGGGTCGAAGAGCTCACACACCAGACCTGAGGTCCGACCCCGCGGGCCTCGCCTACCTTCCGTCGGCCTCTGGGGAGCGCCCACGCCGGCCGCCTCCGGAGGTCTGCAAGGAAAGGGCGCTTTGTTAGGGCCCCGCGAGCGCCGCGAAACCCAGCAGCCCGCGCCGCCGATCCGGGCACGCGTCCTTCCAGAGGACGCGACTAGGGACCAGCACGGGCGTCATTTCCATATGTAAGGGGCCAGCGCTCACAAAAGCGCGCCGGCGCATCCTCCGCCCCCGCCGTCGCCCCTCCCCCCACCCCCAGCCGCCACCACCCGCCCGCGACAGAGCCCCTCCGGGGCCGCACCGCGTGCTGGACCAGGATCTGCGGGTTTGCGCCGCTCAGGGCGCTCGGGGTCCCTCGTAGACAGCGCACTGGCAGCCAAGGCCTCCTCTAGCTCCCAGGCCGCGCAACCCCCGGGGCTCCCCAGCTTGTCGCTTACCGCGCCCCGGGCTTAGGCGCCTCGCGCCACCGCACAGACCATGACCGCGGTACTCTCGGGCTCGGACGGGCGGCACGGGACGGCCGCGCCCAGCGCGCTCGCTCCGGGCTCAGCCGCTGCCACCCGGAGATCGGGCCGCGGGGGAGGAAGAGCCTGGCCGCGCAGGGAGGAGTCAAGGGGACGCCGGCCAGGGCGCGGCTCCTCCTCCCGCGGCAGCCGAGGGAGGAGCGGGTAGCCGCGGAGAGTCGGCGGGTGCGAGCCCCCGCCGGGGAGATTTGAATTTGGGAACGCCCTGGCTCCACGTGTCCGTCCTGCACCCAGAGGTCGCCTCGGCGAACTTGCTGGCACTGCCACCATGCGGTCCCTTGCCCACCACCTCCTTTTTCTCTCAAAGGCATCTACTAGCACCTGGCGCTCGGCACAGGGCCCACAACGTTTCTGGAGAGCGAAGACTAGATGGACCTTAAGTAGAGGCGGGTACCTATGTCACCGGCAGGTGACCCGGGATTTCCCACCTCTAGAGAACCCTTTGAAGGTCATGGGAAAGGACCCCAAAGAGCAAAGGACCCTAGAGAGCACTGAGCCCTCTGGGCGTCCCACCTTTTCTAGAAGCATCAGTAGCTGCCAACCTCATTCTCATAGGCGCTCTGCCCCTTGTATAAACTTCGGAGGGTGCAATCAACTCTCTGTGACAGCTGCGCAGAACAGAAAGTCATTGGAATTGGTGGTCCTTCTGCCATCAAGGTTGTTGGGTGGGTCCCCGTCCAGCTGCTTTCTCCCAAGCCTGCTCTACGTGCTACCCTCAAAAAAGATGCTAGCTATATCTCAGTGCTGCCCCTCCCCCCTTCCCTATGCTTCCTAATACCAAGTAGTCAAGCAGGATCTCAAATCCAGGCTAAAGGTGGAGGGAGATATGGGCCTGAGGCAACGTCTTTGCAGGATCCATGAGTAGCCCTTGTGAAAGGAAGGATATGTCTTGATTTTATTACATTCACAAGTTATTTCCACAAGAACGCTGAACAAAGCCCTCTTGCCACTGAGAGTTGTAAGCAACAGAAAGGAAACTGGGAAGTTCAGGCTCCTGGAACCAACAAATGTGACCTCTTTATGACAGTCTCCCTGAGGAGGTAGACACCATAGCATTTCGAAAGCAGGAAGCTGGAAGGCCCGGAAGCAAGAGCGTCACACAGAAAGCTCTTCATAGACTAAGATTCAGAAGAAGAACACATATGTGTCAAAACTGCTAGAATTTAATGCTCACAAAGCAGAACTAGTGAAAGGGATTTTCCTGGGCTCCCAGCTGACCAAGGCCTGGTTTATTTTTTGATTGTATTGTGCTACAGTTCTGCAGTGTGGGAAAACCGAATAAAGCATTATTTTGAGAGTCTCTCCATATTGTTCCTTACAACTTACAGGAATCCAGTTATCTCAAAATGTAGGAAACAAATATCAAAGACAGTTATTTAAAAACTCCAAACCTTTCTCCAATACAGAGAGCATCTGGGAGAATAAGAAAGAGGCATTTCATGCCCCCATCCCCTTCTAGCACACAGAAACGTACAAACTGTAAGCAAAGCTGTCCAATATTACACCACTTATCAACCCTCTACCAGGATACTTACAGAGATGTCATGAACAAGAGAATGATGTTCCGTGGGCACTCAAACCACTGACAGCCTCCAAGAACAAGGGTGAGGAAGCAGCTTTCTTGTTTTGCCCAGATTCTGCCATGTCAGATCCATCATGCTGGGTACCTCTCCATACGCTCGCTCCTTTAACCACCAAGAATCCTTGAGGATGAAATAGTGCCTCAGTTGGAAGCTGTGCTCCTTGGGGCAAGGGATATTGGTTGCAATTTCACTACTTATGGAGGAAGCACAGATTGCTAGAGATGGTATAATTAGAAAAACACAAAACTGGTTTTTTGAAAGGATGGGAAGGGTGGAGTTAGTGCTGGGACTGCCTCCAGCCTTGTCACAGAGGAGGAAACAGCAGGGCCAGGCAGTTCCCTGTTGGGCGCTGCTGGGTGGTACAGGGTTGGTGAGAGCTTGTCAGAGGCAAATTCTTTTTTTTTTTTTTTTTTTGACAGGGGTTCTCTGTGTATCCCTGCTGTCCTAGAACTCACTCTGTAAACCTGGCTGGTAAGGAGCTCAAGAGATCCACCTGCTTCTGCCTCCAAAGTGCTGTGATTAAAGGCTTAAAACACTACAGCCCTGTCTGAGGCAGATTCTTTAATACTATGTGCCTACATGTTAGGTTGCACAGGGCCAGGCAGGTCTTAGTCCAGACAAAAACTGAGACTTCTCTCACAATCAGCCTATTGTTTGGCAGAAATAGTTTTAATTCTACTCTACATATAATATAAAGAAAAATGAAATGTGAGCCTTTGTCTAGTGGTAATACTCATTGCAAGCCAATTTTCACCTTTTATTTGTTGTAGTTTAATAACTTATTTGTAGTACAGAGGTGTTTTGCCTGCACGTATGTCTGGGTGAAGGTGTCAGATCTTAGAGTTACACACAGTTGTGAGCTGCCATGTAGGTGCTGGGGATTGAACCCCAGTCTTCTGAAAGAGCAGGCAGTGCTCTTATCTGCTGAGCCATCTCTCTAGCCCTCTGCTTCTGATTTTAATTCTCATTTTACAGAACCTTGTTAAGGGAGCCAGGATTCTTCAAGTACTTACTTGCATCTATTGTTTTTGGGATTGTTTTCTGTTACGTTCTACAGTATAGGACTGGAGTTGTCACATGGTTAAAAACTTTAAAGTTTGCTGAAGCACGGGCCATTGGAAGAATATGTTGCTCTATTTCTTTCTGGGGAAACTGTTTGTTTGTCTGTTTTGTTTTGTTTGAGAGGATCTCTGTACAAAGTCCTGGGTATTCTGGAACTCACTTGGTAGATCAGGCTGGCTTCAAACTCACAGAGATCCTCCTACTTCTGCCTTCTATTGGGATTAAAGGAGTACACCACCACACCTAGCTTTAATATATAGCCTAGGCTCTCCTTGAGCTCTTGATCCTCCTGCTACCAAAACGAGTGGGAAACTTTGTAACTGATCAGAATCCAGACAGTTAAGATGAACTGGAGAAAGATGAAGGAAGTAGAAGTGGGAGATGTGATTGAAGGAAGAAAAAGATAAAACTAATCAGGGCATGGAGGCACACACCTTAAATCCCAGCACTTGGGAGGCAGAGCAGGCAGATCTCTGTGAGTTTGAGACCAGCCTGGTCTACAGAGTGAGTTCTAGGGCAACCAGGACTATACCATCTCCAAAAACTGAGGAGGGGGGTAGGACTGTACTTGTTTGTTTGTTTGTTTGTTTGTTTGTTTGTTTCTGGTTAGCCCCAGGAACTGAGAAAAGATGTCTGCTTCCTCCATGAGGAGATTGGGTAGTGATGGAAAGAAGGAGAAAAACACAGTCTGTATCCCAGAGATGATGCCAGAAATTGGGAGACTCAACAGCCAGGCAGGAAGAAAGAACACAAGCAGGGAGAAGGATGGAAGTGGCCTTTAGCCTTTGCCCCTGGGAATTCTTCTTAGGACTTGCTCCCTTCACTCTCCTCTGTGAGATGTATGAGAGGGGAGGAGATGGGCTCTGCTCAGATCCTGAAAGCACCCAGGAAGCACTCTCAGTTCTTGCCCTGACAGAAGGGAAAATACCCACATGTGAGGGAGTACGGGACAGCTTAGAGACAGCATTGGATTTGAACAAGTTGGGCAGCTTACATAGGACCCTAGCAGTGCAGAGGGCAAGGACATCATTACTATATGGCTGCTACTCGGACTAGTGCGTTTCACATCCTGTCCTAGGAGCCTGCTCAGTCATTGTGAAAGCGCGTATTCTCATGGAAGCTGACCTCTGTCTACTGCTCTGCACATGTACCTCCATGACTTTCCTTCCCATCCAGATCACCAGTCCTGTGACATACTCAATGCCTTTGCCTCTGTGCCATGTTATTTCTTTGGTGCAGAAGTTAAACCACAGTGGGAATCAGTCCTTGAACTCGAGTCTTTCAGGTTGAGCATTTAGTTGCATTTCAGATACTTTACCCTCACACTGAGAGGATGGTGTATTCTTGTGCTGGGGTAGAACTGGTTTTCATTACGGAACCATCCTGTTCCTTGAGTCAGGAATCTGGAAATGGTCTACTGTTCTAAAATGCTGGTCACTGAGGCTTCATTCAAAGAAGAAAAAAAAATGTAATTTTAGTTTAAAACGTGCTAATGTTTCTTCCATAAGCACCTGACCAATGTGATGTAAAATCTTCATTTAAAATAAAAGATCTTTGAATGGAAAAGGATGGTTTTCCAAATGGGACTACTCTTGAGTTTTTTTTAAGAATTGGGGACCTACTTGAAGCAGCTCTGTCCAGTAGAATTAAATGTAAGCCATATGTGTAGCTCAAGCTTTTGCTGATGGCCATATTTTAAAATGTAAAATGAACACATAAAATTATTGTTTAATATATTATCTGATCCAATATGTCCCAAATATTATCTTTTCAACATTTAATCAGTATAAAACCCAATGAGGTATTTTGCATTTGTGTTTGTGTGATTCCTTGGCTCCTGCTGTGTAGTTTTGCCTGTAGCTAATCTCTTTTCAGACTGGTCATATAGACTGATAGCTACCACTGGGCTAAGATCACAAAGTGGATGCATCTGATGACAAGCCTGGGCCTGTCTCCATAACATGTGCTTCCTGGGACTGGTTATAGATGACCCAAATGGCTACATTGAAGTGATGCAAGTTGTCAAAGTGATGGTGATGGTGGTGATGATGATGATGATGATATTTAAGGCTGGATACCTTCTAAACCCCTCAGCTCATCAAAAGTATTTTTTAAATAAAGCTTCAAAAAAAAAGGGAGCCTACTGTACAGCATTTTAATACTTATATATGACAAGCTAGAAAACTGCTTACATTTGCCTCATCTGGTCTTTGAATCTTCAGGGAGCCTACCAGAGAGGACCAGAGACCAAGAAGGCAAAGGTGGACATCTGTTGGTCCACCAAGGAAATGTGGGAGGGTGCTTCAGTCTCATCCATCCTCCATTCCACTCACATTAGCCCCTGCCAGCATCCTGAGGACCCACTTTTTTTTTTTTTTTTTGTCACTAATGTCAAAGGCTTCGAAACGACCAGGTGATCTTTCCTCTTACTCTCTCAATAGTTCTACTCT